TGATCCAAGCCCAGGAAGGAACTTCATTGGCCTTTTAGCGATTCACCCAACACACACACCTAGGTGTGTGTGTAGACACCCCACACCAGCTCGCACATGCACCTGCTCACACAGCTGAGTTCATTCTCTCTCACACTCAAATTCAAGGTCAGGAAAGAAGACAGGGAGGACCCTGAAACAAATGAAAGGTATAGCCACAGGGCTTCCAACTCCTCAGCAGGAGGGATCCCAGATGAGGAGCAGGGAGGCCTGAGCACCAACAGTTCTCTCAGCAGCCTTCTCACACAAGCACTGAAGAGGACAGTGCCTACAACGTCACTGAAGGGCACTCAGTGTTTCAATGTGCAGGTTTTCTCTGGAAAGGAAACGCTTAAGTGTGTATAATCATAAAATGTGGAGATAGGGATCCCTGGGTGGCGCAGCGGTTTGGCACCTGCCTTTGGCCCAGGGCGCGATCCTGGAGACCCGGGATCGAATCCCACGTCGGGCTCCCGGTGCATGGAGCCTGCTTCTCCCTCTGCCTATGTCTCTGCCTCTCTCTCTCTCTCTCTCTCTCTCTCTCTCTGTAACTATCATAAACAAATAAAAAAAAAATTTATAAAAAAAATGTGGAGATAATCTTGATAATTATAATGAAAGGCCAAAAAACCCCCAGTCTTTTCTTACAATACTCTTAGAATTTATTTTTGCAAATTCCATTTTAGGATGAGTTGGTAATGGTTACAAAAGCATCAGCCCTCTCAGTATGAGGAGTCATGTTGATGAAGAATCTTCAGCAGTGGTCAAAGCCTTAAAAATAACCTATTCCAGGGGCAGCCCTGCTGGCTCAGCGGTTTAGTGCCGCCCTCAGCCCAGGGCCTGATCCTGGAGACCTGGGATCGAGTCCCAGGTCGGGCTCCCTGCATGGAGCCTGCTTCTCCCTCTGCCTGTGTCTCTGCCTCTCTCTGTGTGTCTCTCATGAATAAATAAATAAAATCTTCAAAAAAAAAAAAAAAAAAAAAACCTATTCCAACCTGACAAGTAGCACCTGGATGGACAGGACTATCAATTCCTGTTTCAATAATATACAAGCAGAAAACTCCACCGCAGTCCTTTTTCTCCTTCCCTTTGCTGATTTATTACTGCCAGCACTGTGTTAGCTTACGCCACACCTGATCTAGCACCAGATGATGTAAGGAGACCCAAACACACCACGACATTGCTAAAGAAAGAGGGACACAAAAGCCATCTGTATTATAAATAGGAGCTGTTTCCATGAAAAATTCAGATAATCAGCTTAAATAATTTAAAATGCTTCCTTCATAAACAGATTACTCAACATGCTACCTTTGACAACTTGACAATCATTAAGATAATCTAGTTGCTATCATCAAAGACAGCTATGGGACTAACCTAAGAGTCTCATACACTCAGTATTTTGAAATCTCAAGGTGGAAAGTACACAAACTTGTGGTCATTATCACTGTTATCCACCTTATCTCTTCCTAGGGTTTTTTAAAAATCACAAATGTTTAAAGAAGAATGCTTATCTTTTAGAGATACATACTGATACATATGAGAGATTACGTCTGCATGCGCTTCCTACACAGCATGAAAGGAGGATCTACAGGGCGCCTAGGGGGCTCCATGGGTAAAGCGGCTGCCTTTGGCTCAGGTCATCATCATCCCAGGGTCCTGTGCCTGGGGCTCCTGCTAAGTGAGGAGTCAGCTTCTGCGTTCCTGTGCTCCTCCCCCTCCAATCATGCTCTAGCTCTTGCCTTCTCCCTCTCAAATAAATAAAATATTGAAGAAGAAAAAAAAAAACACAGTGGGGATCTACAGACAAACCAAGACTGCTGAAACTGAGCAGCAGTTTGGGAGGTCTCACTAAGCGATTCTCTCTACTTTTGTGTATGTTCGGACTTTTCATCTTAAAAGTTTAAAAATACTCATCATGGGGTGGAATTCCTTGGTTTTCTTTCTTTTTTTTTTTTTAATTTTTATTTATTCATTATAGTCACAGAGAGAGAGAGAGGCAGAGACACAGGCAGAGGGAGAAGCAGGCTCCATGCACCGGAAGCCCGACGTGGGATTCGATCCCGGGTCTCCAGGATCGCGCCCTGGGCCAAAGGCAGGCGCCAAACCGCTGCGCCACCCAGGGATCCCCGGTTTTCTTTAGACTACTTCCCTATCAGGGTGCCTAGGTGGCTCAGCTGGTTAAGCTTCTAACTTTAGCTCAGGTCATGATCTCAGCAGTCCTGGGACTGAGCCCTGCAGGGAGCCTGTTTCTCCCTCTCCCTCTGCCACTACCCCCCTCGTTATGTTCTCATCTCTCTCTCAAATAAATAACTAAAATCTTTGAAAATAAACTACTTCACTATCAAAATATTTTTTCTTTGTTCCTCTATAACGCATTCTGACATCAAACTTGGAAAAAACAATCCTGAGTCACAATAAAGTCTAGCAAAGTTTATACGGACACAAGTATCAACCTTTCATTAGTCTGTAAATCAACCGCTCCAACACAAGAGCTCTCCTCCACCATCCCAGGAAACTTGTCCAAGTCCAGGTACTAAGATGACCACACTCAGCACTGCTTCTTTCCAGTGCAATCTCGGCCAGCAGACAGAAGGAGCAACGTCACAGTAGATCTCACTACACTCGTCTATTCCACCAAACCCAAGTCATCTGGGCTTTGCCCCCAAACTTAAAATTCCATCAGGAAAGGGCACCTGGGTGGCTCAGTTGGTTGAGCATCCAACTCTTGGTTTTGTCTCGGGTCATGATCTCAGGGTCTCGGGATGGACGGACATTGGGCTCTGTGCCCTCCCTCTGCTTCTCCCCCTCATCGTGTCCGTGCTTGCTCTTGTGCGTGTTCTCTCTCTACAAAAAATTAATAAATAATATCTTAAAATTCCATCAGGAGCTATCAAAGAATTTTTTTAATACTTTATGTATTTATTCATAAGAGAGAGAGAGAGGCAGAGACACAGGCAGAGGGAGAAGCAGGCTCCATGTAGGGAGCCTGATGTGGGACTAGATTCTGGGACTCCAGGATCACGCCCTGGGCCAAAGGCAGGTGCTCAACTGCTGAGCCACCCAGGGATCCCTGAAGAATTTTTTTAGAAAAAAGATTTTATTCACTTGACAACGCACAAGCGCACAAGCAGGGGGAGCTGCAGGCAGACTGAGAGGGAAAAGCAGACCCCCCGCTGAGCAAGGAACCCTAAGCAGGGTTGGATCACAGAACCCTGAGATCATGACCTGAACTGAGGGCAGACGCTTCACTGACGGAGCCACCCAAGTGCCCCCAAAGCAAAGAATTTTGGCTCATTTCTACTTTGTGATTACAAGAAAGCTCTGCCCCAAATATCCAAAGTTTTTTCCACTATGATCCATAAGGACAGTTACCAAAGGTGTTTCCCAAGTGAAAAACATTTAATGGAAGTAATAAAATCTTGTATTTGTGGAAATATTTTGAGCGACCAAATCTAGTAAGTTGAGAGCCCAAAGACCTGGTGCTCCCCCCTGCTCAAGCACCAACAACTCTGCGAGGTCTCGGGAAAGTTATTCAGCCTTCCCGGCCTTCCAGTTCCTTACCTGTAAAGTGAGAAGGAAAACACCTGCGCACCACTGCCTCAGAAAAAGATGGTCCAGTGAAAGCGTACAAGAGCCTCTCGGGAGGCAGAGCCAGGGCATGATACAGAACCCCCTCGCAGTGTTCCCCTCACACCTCTGATGGGACCCAGGAAGGGCACGCAGGACAGGAGACACACGGCACTCGTAAAAAACAAGGCGCTCTCCAGCCCAGCAGCATGAAGGAAAAATCGCATCCACACTGTCCACGCAGGACACGGTCAATCACATACGTCTGTGTGCCTGTTAGACTAGGAGGGGAGCCGGGCTGCAGCAGCGCCTTCCTACACTGCTCAGTAAGAGCAGCACGCGGACCCCGACCGTCAGAACGGCCGCAGAGACACCACACCTTCCCAGGCTGAAAGCTCTGCGCAGGGAGCCCTGATTCAGGAGGACCCAGAGCTTTACACAGACGCTCCAGGGACACGGCGGGTCCTGCAGCCCTTACGAGGCTGTGGATAACCCATGTTATAACCCTAACCCACACCCTAAACTGCAAAGCATCGATTTTACCCCTTTTCTTAAAGACATCTAGGCTTAAACACACTGTGCACTTCAACACCCACCTAACAAATGTCTGCACATACCAGAAGCCCGTAAAACACAAAAACCAGGAATTCAGCATGTTTTGGACTTCCTACCATTTGGTAAGAGGTTGGAGAGCGAACAGCAGGAGTCGACTTGCCGCTGACCCGTGTGTCTGTCCAGATAAACCCGCCGGAGTGCCAGGCGCAGAGTCGGAAGCCCAGGACAGAGCCCGAGGCGCCTTGCGCCGTCACCCGTCTACGCAGAGCGGGCCCTGACCGAGCCCTCCCTCCCTCCGGGCTGCTGCACCACCAGCTCACGGTCTCCCAAACGGCCACACGACCCGAGGCAGAGTGCCCGCCAACCACACACGGAAAGTGCCCGGAACAGGTGTGAGCAGGGCCCTTGCGGGAAGGCCAGGCTGGAACAGCCTGCGGGGAGGTGAGGGCCCACAGTGGGAGCGCACACCGTGGGGGGTCCGCGGTACACCACTCCAGGCCGGGAACACGGGAGGGCAGGGGGAAGGAGTCCGATGGACACCCCTCCAGGCCCGAGGACACGGGGGAGGGGGAGCGGGGGGCAGTCTCTGGGACACCCCTCCAGGCCCGGGAACACGGAGGGGCAGTGCAGTCCGCAGGACACCCCTCCAGGCCTGGGGACACGGGGGGGGGGGGGGAGCAGTCCCCCGACATCCCTCCAGGCCGGGGACACCGGGGGCGGGGGGTGCAGTCCCTGGACACCCCTCCAGGCGGGGACACGGGGGGGGGGGGGAGCAGTCCCCAGACACCCCTCCAGGCCGGGACACGGAGCAGGGGATGCAGTCCCCGGACACCCCTCCAGGCCCGCGGGCTGGGACTCACCTGGTCCGCCCCGTACACCGTGGCGAACTGGACGAAATCCTCGATGCGGACCAAGCCGTCCCCGTCGCCGTCCAGGGCGTCGAACACGGCGCGGAGGCGGGGGCCGTCCTCCGGGCACGCGGCGGGCTCGGTCGCGAGCGGGCAGGGGTGGCCGAAGTCCGGGGGCCGCCCCGGGGCGGCGGGGCCCACGTCCAGGGCCAGCTCGCCCCCCGCGGGCGCCGGGAAGCAGGGGAACAGGCCCACGTCGCCGCCCGCGAGCGGACCGTGGCCGAGAGCCCGTCCGCGGAGAGGGGCGGCGTCGGGGCAAGGCGGGGAGCAGACGCCGTCGGGCTCCGCGGCGCAGGGCGGGCGCGGGCCGGGGCCGGGGCCGGGGGCCCCGCGGGCGTCCGCGCAGGCTCCGGGCTCCGGGGCGCCGAGTGTCCGGCGCGGGGCGGGCGCGGCTGCCGGCCGGTGGGGCCCGCCGGGTTCGGGCTCGGGGTCCGGGTCGGGGTCGGGGCGCGCGCCGCCCGCGGGGGAGGCCGGCCGGCCCGGCTCCATCTTCATGGGCGCGCCCCCGGCCGCGGCGCAGGCCCGCGAGGCCAGTGGTGCGGCGGGCGGCGCGGGCGGCAGACAAAGGCGCTCAGGGCGCGGCGGCGGGCGCGGGCATCCCCGCGGCGGCGCGGGCGGGTGCGCGCGGGGCGCCCGGGCTGGTCGGGCTGGCGCTCGGGCCCTGCTCCGCCCTCGCCCATCTTCGCGTGGCGCCTCAGCTGCCCTCGGCCCGGCGGCGCGGCGGGCGCGGGCCCATGGCGGCGGCGCGGCGGGGGCGGGAGGGCGCGGGGGCGGCGGCGGCGGCGGCGGCGGGGGGGGGGGCCCGCGGGGGCTCCCGACGGAGGAGGACGAGGGGGCCGCGGCGCGGGAGGCTGAGGAGCCCGCGGCTGCGGAGCAAGCGAACAACGCCGCCGCCGCCACCGCCGCGCGGGCCCCGCCTTCCGTTTTCCGTAGGGCCTGACGTCAGCGCGTCGTGGCGGCGCCGGCCCCGCCCCCTCGCCGGTCTAGGCCCCGCCCCCCGCCGGCCTTCCTTAAAAGGCGGGCGCCGCGGGCGCCGCGGGCGCGGAGCGTGGGGGGTGGTTCGTCGGCGCGCGGGCAGCTCGGGCCGCGGAGTTGCGGCCGCTGCCGGGGGCGGAGTGAGCGGCTCCGAGGAGCGTGACATGCCGCCCCGGGACGCGGGTCGCGGAGGGCCGGCCGCCCTCTCGCGGGGACGCCGAGAAGTGCCCGCGCACCGAGGCCCCGGGGACGCGCCCGAGCCTCCCGCACCCGCACGACGGAGGAGAGCCGCTGTCGCCGGGAGGTCCCGGCCTCCCCAGCCTCGTGTGCGACACCGACCGCTGGCTCTGCGGTCACCACCGTCACGGGGACACGTGGAGACGGGCTGGCGGGCAGGTGACGCGGGCCCGGGCCGGGTGCGAGATGCAGCGCACAGGGAAAGGGATGGGGGAAAGTCTCAACTGCTGTTCCTACAGGCCGTGGGCACCAGCAACAGATAGGTTTCATAAGCAGCTTTGGCAAGAACCGGGGGAACCTGAAGCTCTGTTTTCAAGTGTACAGTGAGGAGCAGTGTGGGAATTAACTGAGTCATCCGTGTGACAAAACCCCAGGGCGTTGGGAAGAGGGAGGCAAGGGATCCTCCTCCCCAAACCTGTCACTTCCTTATGGGAGCTGTATGCTTTCACGAGGAAGATCTTCTGTTCAAAGAGAAAATAAAAAAAAAAAAAAAAAACTACAGTTTTGGCAAGAATCTGAAACGGAGTCGATGCATCTGGCCAGACGTGATTTTGAGAGGTACTTAGAGTGATGTGTCAACCCCGCTAAATAGGACTGTTCCTGTGGGCACAGTGAAGACAACAGGAGTCCAGAGGAAGCAGGAAAACTCCGCCTCCCCTGGTCAGCTGATGTAGCCAAATGGAATCCAGGCATGGAAAGCGCACCCCCTTCCTGCTTGGAGCCCTTCCAGACTCTGCTCGGGAGACGTTGAAAGTGACAAGTTCCCCGGGTGCCGGGGTGGCCCCGTCCATAGAGCATCTGAGTCTTGATCTTGAGGACGCAAGTTGGAGCCCTGTGTTGTGTGCAGAGATTACTTAAATGCACACACACACGCACACACACAAAACTGGCAAGTCCCTGGCCAGTCAATCCAGTGTCTTCTAGCATCCCCTCTGTGGCCTGTGGACATTTTTGGTGAGTAGCATTCCAGATGAAATGAATTAGCTGGTTAGAAGCAGCCCCTGCTGCCACTTCCATGTGCTCCTCCACACCTACCCTATCCGTATTTTTTAAAGATTTATTTGCTTATCTGATGTGGGGGATGGAGGAGGAGGGGCAGAGGGAGAGAGAATCTTTAAGCAGACTTGGCACTGATACTGGAGCCCCACACAGGACCCGATCCCACCACCCTGAGATCACAACCTGAGCCAAAGCCAAGAGCCAGATGCTTAACCAACTGCCACCCAACTGCCTCACTTTACTCATTTCAACTTGTTAACAGTTACACAAGAGGAAGGGAGGGTGGGGTTCAGCTCACATCTGTTGGATCTGGGGTCTGGGTGAATGTCTGTGAACACCTCCCCCTGACTCTCCTTTTCTTTCTTTTTTTAAGATTTTATTTATTTATTCATGATAGACCTAGAGAGAGAGAGGCAGAGACAGAGACAGAGGGAGAAGCAGGCTCCATGCCAGGAGCCCGATGCGGGACTGGATCCCAGGACTCCAGGATCACGACCTGGGCCAAAGGCAGGCGCTGAACCACTGAGCCACCCAGGGATCCCCTGACTCTCCTTTTCAAAAGTACTCGAATAACCACGTAACTTTGGAATTCTTCAAGCAGGTAGATTTCATTCACCTGTCTTCCCTGGTGACCTTTGGCTTGTAGGGAGAGATGTGAAGACAAAGACCAGCAAGGTGACTCAGCACAGCCCTGGCATGGCCCTGTTGCACCTGCCAGGGGAGCTGAGGGAAAGGGGTTAAGAAACCTCACGTGGAAGGTAAGCTTGTCTTTCCTGGGGTAAGGCTCCTCCGTCATCTGGATGAGATCTGGCCATTGACATCCAATGTTCAATTTGATCACAAACCTACTTAAAAAAAAAAAAGATTTTATTAAGTAATCTCTACACCCAAAAGGGGGATCGAACTCATGACAAGAGTCACATACTCCTCTGACTGAATCACCTGGGCGCCCCACAAATCTACTTTTTTCATGCATGTTTTTAAAAAAACCTTGAGGAAATACACCAAAATCATAGTGGACAGTACATATGATTTCCCTATCCATGCTAGTCCTTCGAATTTAATATGGCATCTTGGATGCCTGGGTGGCTCCGTCAGTTAAGCATCCCACTCTTGATCTTGGCTCAGGTCATGACCTCCACTTAGGTAATGATCTCAGGGTGGTGGGATCAAACCCCACATTGGGCTCCACACTCAGTGGCGAGTCTGTTGAGATTCTCTCTCTCCTCTCCCCCTGCTTCCCTACCTGCTCATGTGCTCACTCGCTCTCTCTTAAATAAATGAATAAAATGGTGTCGTGTCTTGTTTGAATTTAACTGTCATGGTGGTAGAGTGAGGTTTTTTTTTAAGATCTGACTTATTTATTTGAGAGAGAGATAGAGCACAAGCACAGGGAGTGGCAGAGGGAGGGGGAGAAGCAGGCTCCCCACTGAGCCGGGAGCCTGATGTGGGACTCGACCCCAGAACCCTGGGATCATGACCTGAGCTGAAGGCAGATGCTCAACAGAGCCCCCACGCGCCCCTGGTTGAGGGTTTCTTGCTCTGTCTACTGACCAGCTGGGATCCCAAATATGTGAACTGTCCAGTCATAGCACTTGCTTTTTTTCCATTGGATTATCTGACTTGTTCTGTAGACAAAATTCGTTTTTGTTTTGTTTTGTTTTGTTTTACAAAATTAGTTTTTAACATTGCAGATATCTTCTCCCCTGCCTGGGGGTGACGGCCTTAAATCATGAATGGGCCGGGGGCACAGTTTACTCCATAGCAACTTGAAAGAAACACAACAGCTGTAACTGATGGGATTCATTTCCAGAAAACTCCCTAAAAAACCAGAACAGGGAAGCCCGGTGGCTCAGTGCCTTAGCGCCACCTTCAGCCCAGAGTCTGATCCTGGAGACCTGGGATCGAGTCCCATGTAGGGCTCCCTGCATGGGGCCTGCTTCTCCCTCTGCTTGTGTCTCTGCCTCTCTCTCTCTCTCTCTCTCTCTCTCTCTCTCTCTTTCTGTGTGTGTGTGTCTGTCTCATGAATAAATAAATAAAATCTTAAAAAAAAAAAGCCCTGCAACTCAGCTTGTCAGATTTAAAAAAACGACAAAAAAAAAAAAAAAAACAAAAACAGAAGAACAGAAACCTAGGAGGAAAGTGAGCAATGAGAGTAAGCAGTTCCAGAAGAAGAAACTCAAAGTAGCCCTATGCACGTACAAAAGATGCTTGACCCCGTTGGTGATCAAGGGACTGAGTGAAGATACCATTTGACACCACTGGAGTCCACGTCAGGCATGAGGCCAGCAGGACGGGGACTCAGCGGACCGCACAGCTGAGGGCCTGGTACCTTCAGGCGGGTGCTCGCCCAGCTCAGTGCCTGCCGGACAGATGCTGGCCCGGGCCCGCCGAGGCAGGGACGGGGTGTTTGGTGCAGCCCTCCCAGTGCAGTTCCCCAGAGGGACTGCGGAGAGGTGAGGCGTGGTCTCGCTATGTGTGCAGCAGGTGCAGCAGAGGCCTGTGACCCCCCGCTCGCAAGGGCTGGACACGCAGTCAGTGACGTATGTTGCTTCAATCCCGTTCGTGTGTAGTGAAAACAACAAACAAGAGTGGGAATTATATCAAGGGACCAGAAGAGGGAGGGTGGCAGCGAAGCTTAGCTATAGAGCACCACGTGGGTCTCAGCGCACCACATGGGTCACCACGTGGGTCTCAGAGCAGTGTCAGCGCCTGGCACGTGTAGGGCAGGCATATCTGCGTGTCTCTGGCTACTTTCCGGGCTTGCCCACGTGTTTTCAGAATTTCATGAACACTTTTAAAATTAAGAAAATAAGTTTTGTACCCAAGGTCTCAAAGATTTCTGCCTCCAGGGGCGGCTGGCCGGCCCAGCTGATAGAGCACGCACCCTTGATCTCAGGATGACGACTCTGAGCCCTGTAACGGGTGTAGAGATTACTTTAAGGGCAGCCCGGGTGGCTAAAAAAAACAAAACAAAGACTTTTATTTTTTAAGTCTTTAAAAGGTTTTCTTTACTTATTTGAGAGAGAGAGCGAGAGCATGAGCACAGCAGGGGAAGGGCCGAGGCAGAGGGAGAAGCAGACCCGCCGCGGAGAGGGAGCCCGCCATCGTCGTTGGGCTCAATCCCAGGACCCTGAGATCACGACCTGAGCCAAAGTCAAGAGTCAGACACTTGGCCCACTGAGCCACCCAGGCACCCCAGGCCAAACATTTTTCATCTACAATTTTGGAAACGAGATGAACATTCTGTATTTAGGAAGCAAACTTAGAGGAAGTCAATTTTAAGGCAGGTCACACTCTCGCCAGCAGCCCCCAGCAGTCGAGAGCACACAGCCAGCCACACTCGTGTTTACTGATACTTTATTCAGTGGGGAAGGATTTTTTGTCACCTTCAAATTTAGTAAACTACGTTTCTTTTTTTTTTTTAAGTACATTTCTTAAGAGTAAAAATAGAGCATGAGTTTGTAAAGCACAATGTAATTCCTCCTGACTCAGCTGAGGTTTGGATGAACTTATTGAAACATTTCACTCTGAGTTGCTGCTGTGTGGACAGGCCTCTCCAGCCCCCAGTGCCCGGAGCACTTTGTGGCCTACAGTCTGCACCCACCCCGTCTCCCTCGAGGCCGAGATCCTGGCCGGGGAATGGGCGTGAGGAGCCAGCACGGAGAGGTTAGTACAGGATCCGGGATTTGTTGTATTTGTATTTTGGCCTCTGGTCGTGTTTTCCAAAAATGTAAACATCTGATTCCCCTCATGCTGTTCCCATTGCCTAAAAATTGTCCAAGTTATAAATTGTGGTGGAAGAGTTAATTCTGTGTGTTTCTGATGAACGTTTCTCAACCTTCAAAAGACACCTGTCAGGGGGCGTCTGGGTGGCTCAGCTGGTTGAGTGTCCATCTCTTGGTTTCTGCTTAGGTTGTGATCTCAGGGTTCTGGAATCAAGCCCAGTACATTAGGCTCCACATTCAGTGGGGAGTCTGCTTGTCCCTCTCCCTCTATCCCTCCCCTCACTCATGCGTGCTCTCTCTCTCTCTCTCTCTCTCTCTCTCTCAAATAAATAAATAAAATCTTTAAAACACACACACACACAAAAGACACCTGTCAGGTCCTGTCTCCTTGAGATGCTCTGAAATAGGGATATGATGAGGTGCCCCTACAACCCCAAGTCAATAAAGTCATCATCTGAGAGTTTCAGGTAGTGAGGTCCATACTGGTTACATTTGTTACTTGAAGAAATAACACTAGACATAATCAAAATAAGTGAATGAAGAGTTTATAGAATCCTCTCCCAATGGACAGGGTTACGTGAGCCTCCTCCCAGAGACCTGCACCAGAATTCAGGGACCAACATGAAATCCATCGATTCCCTGTGGGTGTAGGACTGTTTCACCAAAGGGCCAAGTCAGAATGAGCAAGAAAAGGGGAGTCCACAGACAGATTGAGTCTCCACCACAGTCCCCAGGACAGAGCCCTGGTCCTGAGATATGAGCGGGGAATGTAGACAGATCATCAGATTAGGCAGCCTCTGCCATCTTCCAGCTGGCCTTTGGGTTTCACCAAAGAGGGGACCGAAGACTCAGCTGGTCACTGGAAAAGAGTATGTGTACACACACGTTACCAGCCTGGTGGGCTACACATTGGACTTTCGTGAGTTTGTTTGCTGTGAGTCGGGATCCACATGCGATGGTCTCCTAACACCCGCTTACTAGAAGCGGCTCCTCCTCAAGGCCATGGCTGTAACGGGGGTTGTCATGTTCACAGGATGTGATCAACCCCTGGCCACGATTTACCAAATAAGAGCTGGACTCTGGATCCAGATGGAGTGGACGTGCACCTTTCCTCAGGACTTTGGATGTGAGCTCTGTGCACAGGTGCAGGCCACAGCTGTACATGAGTGGCTGGGACCTGGTCATACAGAGAGCTGCCGTGCAGCAAGGGGAAGGTGGGCTCCCAGAGACAGGGAGAGGTGAGAGAAGGAAGGGATGCTCAGTCCTGGGCCCTGGGCCCTGGGCCCCCAAGCTCCAGTGCCCCCTGCCCCCGGCGCATCCTCGTGCATTCCCCACCTTCGGATCTGAACGGCGGGTTGGGTTCTGCTGTGTGCGTCCAACACAAACCGGCCTCGGTGTCCCGAGGGAGAAGCCTGAGGGGGCCGTGAACCCCTCTGGGAGGCCCTGAGCCTGGCCAGCCTGTGTGCCCACGTGGACGGATGCCAAGGGGAAGACCGGAAGTTCGGGGGGCCGTTGTGCTCACGCCTTGGGCCTTGGCCAGTGGCTCGCTGTCCACTCGGCAGCGGGACGGCGTCTGAGCGATGAGGTCGCCCTTGGCCTCTCACAACCTTTGTGCCCCAGGACAGAAAAGGGAGAGGAAGATGGAGGACGAGGCGAACGACCAGGGCGACCAGAGGTGGACACGGAGAGAGCATGGGCACCCGGGCACCCGGCGAATGACGCAACTCAAGCCTGGCACGTGGGAAACCAGCGTTACCTGTGCTCGGGCCTGACGCAGGGGACCAAACAGGCGCAGGCCAACCACGGTCCAAAGTCTACAGGTTACCATGGCAACAGGAGGGGTAAGCACAGACAAGCTCCCCCAAACTAGCACCTAAATTAGCACTCTTGGGATCCCTGGGTGGCGCAGCGGTTTGGCGCCTGCCTTTGGCCCAGGGCACTTTCCTGGAGACCCGGGATCGAATCCCACATCAGGCTCCCGGTGCATGGAGCCTGCTTCTCCCTCTGCCTGTGTCTCTGCCTCTCTCTCTCTGTAACTATCATAAATAAATAAAAATTTAAAAATAAATAAATAAATTAGCACTCTTTATTCCAGACAACTGGGGGCTCCCTTTGCTCTCTGTCTGCGAGGGAAATGCCCGGATGTGCACCGCATCACAGCGATGGCCCAGGAGTGGCCCCGAGGCCCACTAGTGGGGTTTGCTCCGCGTTCACTCCTCGGGACCCCGTGAGGATGGGGTTCCCCAGCCACCAGCTCCCCGGGCCCCCGTGGGGATGGGGAGCCCCAGCCGCCTGCCCGCAGCCTCCTGTGCCCGCAGCCCTCTGCTCTGGCGGTCGGACGTCTCCCCGTGGCCTGGAAGGGCTGAGAGCAGAGCAGCCTCGGCCGTGGGAGGGGAGCTCGAACAGCTGGGGGTTCGCAGAACTGACTGGGGGTCACAGGTCATCGGCCCTTCTGGGGACCCGGTGCTTCCTACGGGAACTCAGAGATGGTTACGGTGAAAGCACCTGCTGCACCAGCCCGACCCGGGGCCCGTGAGTCCGTCCAGCGTCGGGGGCCCCCCACGTGCTGTCGCGGAGGAGCCCTCGACAGCTGCCCGGCCCCGAGTCACAGCCTGGGTGCCTCACAGCCCACGGCCCGTCATGTGCAGCTGATCAATGACAGACGCCGTGTGTCTGGGAGGGACTGGCACGTGACCTGCTAGACCGCGCAAAGGCCACCTGATGTTGCCAACACGGGCGGCGGCACGGCGCCATCCACCCGGGGCCGCAGGGCAATGCAGGCGGAGGGGACTCTGCTCGGGCCACAGCCTCCCTCCTCTTGCCAGAGCACCCGTCCTCACATGGCCACCGGCTTTCCCGGGTCCCCACTTTGCCGACGGAGATCATGGGACTTCTTAGCCTCCACGGTCCAGAGAGCCAGCCCCTATAACCTCCGGGTGTCACTGTCTGTACCCCGTTGCGGCCAGTTCTCAGGAGAACCGCAGTTGCAGTGACAGGCAACCGTTCCAGAGGCGTCCCGCCAGGTGGGAACCGAGCCCGCTCACCACCCTACTGCTGGCCACCTCCAGGGCCTTCCTCAGGGAAAGACGGTGGCCCAGCCTGGTGGTGGCAGAGGGGCCCCAATGACCGCCTCGGCCCGGCTCGGCCAGCCTCCCCCGGAACCCTTCCCCCTGCTTGTTCTCCCACCCAGGAGCATGAGGAGCACCCACGTGTCTGCCTTGCTGCTGGACTCGAGGCCACCAAATCCTGGTCTCTGTGACAACAAGCACCTCTATCTTAATTTTTATTATTTTCAGTAGGCTCCAAACCTAGTACAGAGTCCATGTGGAACTTGAACTCATGACCCTGAGATCAAGACCTGAGCTGAGATCAAGAGTGGGACCCGTCAGTGGCTAAGCCACCCAGGTGCCCCAAGGAGCACCCTGATATTCCATGTGGAGGGGCTCCCCCTGCCCGGTGGCCTCTCAGCTGGCACGGCTCCTCCCCCGAACTCTTTTCACACGATGAAGGGACTGGGACACGGTCCCGTCAGGTGGTATCCGCGGCACAGGCTCAAGCTCCATCCTGTAGTGGCGACCAGGACTGTCTGGGAGCAGGCCCGGTCCTCGCAGGGTAAGGAAGCTCCCTGGGGGCCTGGCTGCGGTGAGCCCCCTCCCCCAGGAAGTGCGCTGCCTCCCCCTGCCTCGGAGTGGGGCTCCACTTGCCCGAGGACGGCACTGGAGTATGAGGTGTGACGCGGTTTCTTGACTCACAGAAAAGAGACAGGAAGGAAACGTCCCCATCTCAGAATGACTGGGTCACTGGTGATTCTTTTCCAGTGTCTTCCTTTACCTTCTACAAACACTTGCAAGCTCTATTTTATAGTAAAAAGTGTTTTTTAGGAAAATGCATTTGTAGGCAAAATGCTAGGATCCCTGTTTATGCCAACAGGTGGTACAGACAGGAGAGAGCCCGAAGCAGCTCAGGGGCCTCACCTGTAAGGGCAGCTCAAAGTTTCCAACAAATCACACAGAAAACAAGTCCGAGGATCTGAGTGGCTCCCTAGGTCCTGGCATGAATGTCAAGGGAACAGATGAGAGGCCTGTGGGATCGTGCCGGTGGCAGTGATGGCCAGAGGAGGGCCTAGAACGTCTAGCCGTGAGTGGCACAGGACCAAGTCCCCTGGGATGTCCCAGCAAAGGATGACTCCAGGGCAGGTGGGGACAACCCAGCCCATGTCACCAAAGGCTGAGAGGGGATCCCGTCTGTGGCCCAAGACCCTGGTGAGGAGACCCAGGACCCCAGGCCTGGGGGGCAGGGATCAAACACGCTTCTCTCGCCTCCCCGGCCTGGCTTCCCTTTGTGGAGGAAGATCCCCACGTAGGAGAGCAAGGACGGAAGACGGGGCCTGAGATGCCCCGCAGCTGCACTCAGGGACCCCGGGACCCAGCTGGGAAGGGAACCAAGGCCCCCTGGCTGGGCAGGCAGGGCAGGGGGGCGACAGCCGCACAGCCCAGGTCACCCCAGGTCAGCTTCCCAGGGAGCTCCAGAATGCCAAAGTGGCCCCGGTGGACATCCGTGCAGCGCGGGCAGCTGAGCAGGTGGAGATGGATCCGTGGGGAGCGCACGTGGACACGGCACCGCTGCTGGACCAGGCCCGCCTCTGGTTTCGATGCTGCGGACGAGGTGCAGCGTGGTGGCGGGTCCTGGAGGAGCACCGCAGGAGGTGTCCGGGCCCTGCGAGTGCCGCCGCTGCGTCAGCCATCCAGCGCCCATCAGCGACAGCCAGATGCCGAGGGCATGGGGAAGACCGCGGCACCCCAGCTTCACCGCCCGCGGCCGGGGCAGCACCCAAGAGTGGCCGGCCTAGGGTAGAAGCTGCAGGTGCACACCAGCGCCCTAGAGGGTGGCAGGCGGGGCGGGTAGGGCAGGCGGGGGCCGTCTCAGGGCTCCTCATCCCGGGTACTGGGGGCCAGCCTGGGGCGCACGGGCCATGGGTGCTGGGAACGTGTCACCCGAACCAAAGCCCAGAGCGCTTCTTGGCCTCATGGCGTCCACCACAAGCCCAGCTTGCGGTGCAAGCCTGCCCCCCCACCGAGTTTCCACAGCCCCCCCCCCCCCCCCGCCTAGGGCAGGATGGAGTCAGCAGCGGCCCTACAGTGAGGAGGCGCTCAGAGAGGAATCTGCTCAAGGAGGGTGAGCAGGCCTCCCAGGCCGGGGGCCTCGGGCACTAGGGGGACAAGGGGAGGGCAGAGAGCAGTGGGGCTGTCCGTGACCCACACGGCCCCACGGGCCCTCAGGCCTCCAGGGGCGGGGGGCACCCGGCGGAGCTCCTGGAGAGACGGCTTCCCGCCTGCTGCAGGCCTGACATCTGTCCTGATCTGCAGGGAGGCGCTGAGGCTTGGCGGGGCCCCCTCCCAGCACCCCCCACCCGTTCAGAACACCCCTCTCAGCCTTGCCCGATGTGGCCTTGGTTGGTTGGTAGCCCAACCCCAAACGTACCCAAGAACATGTCTAGAAATACACCCAAGGGACTCGGGAAACCCATCAGGACCATATATGGTGACGTCAGCCCACGGGGCAGGGGTTTCAGGAAGGGGGCCACGGCCAGAGGTGACCCGCGGGAGGCAGGAGCGGCATCACCTAGAGCTTAGCAGAGGCGGCGAAATCTGCCAGCAGCTTGAGGTCATTAGGGAAGGTCAGCCATGCCCCGCCGTCAACCACCAGCACAGCGCCTGTCATATAGGATGCCAAGGGGCTGGCCAGGTACAGCGCACCGTGGGCCACCTCGGTCTTGTTGCCCAGCCTCTGCAGGGGGATGTCCAGAACCTTGGTGCTGACACTGACCTGGCGGCCACCTGCAAAGACACAAGGCTCAGCCCCATGACGGAGGGGACCCAGGGCCCCCCGCCCCCCACCCTGGGCTTGGAGACCGCCTCTTCCTGGGAGCCCAAGGAACCGGTCCTTCTCCTGGGCGTGTCCCAGCCAGCTGGGAGGGGAACCCGCGGAGGCACTGTGGGGTGCGGGGTCCCAAGGGCTTACCCAGCCGCCGGAACCCCTCCGTGCCACTGATGGGGCCAGGGGCGAGGCTGTTGACGCGGATGTTCTGGGGACCCCACTCCACGGCCAAGTGCCGTGTCATCGCATCTGCACAGAGGAAGGCAGGCATGAGGAGAGGCAGGGCCCGGGCCGGGCCTCTCCGCTGCTGGTTTCCAGGGACAGGCGGGAGAAGGACCCAACGGGAGTCCAGGCCGGCTGACCCAGGGGGTGCCCGTACCCACAGCCGCCTTGGCAGAGCCCGCGTGCACTTGAAGCACCTGCCCCCGGGTACCCAGGGTTGCGGTGATGTTCACGATCACCCCTCCGTGGTCCTGTAACACACGGGGGAGGGCAGTGAGTGGGTGGCCGGAAGAGGCGACTCCCAGGAAGAAAGCACACGCACCCTGAAAAACTTTTCGTAGAGCACGCGAGACGTGTTGAAGGTGCCCAAGCTGTCGATGTCCATCACGGTCTTAAAGGCGTTGAAGGACAGTGCACTGGCAGGGCACAGGAAGTTTCCCGCTGCACCTGCGAGAAAACCACAGCATGCTGGAGCCCTGGCAACCAGGACACGGCCCTCGGGGTGGTCCAGGCACCACAGGGTGGGGCCCGAGCACTTGGGGGCCCCTTTCTTCTTGGGAGACTGGGCAGGACAGATCTCATGGGCTGAATTACATCCCTCAAAGAGATATGCTGAAGGGGAATCTGGGGCACTCAGAGATCTTGATTTCAGCTCAGGTCATCATCTCAGGGTGGGGAGAGCGATCCCACGTCCTCTGCGCTCACTGTGGAGCCTGCTTAAGACTCTTTCTCTCCTGCTCCTCCCCCACATCTAAAAAAATAATAATAATAGGGGTCCCGGAGTGGCTCAGCTGGTTAAGCATCTGCCTTCAGCTCGCCTGCTGCAGGCCCTACATCTGTCCTGATATGCAGGGAGGCGCTGAAGTCCTGTGGGGACTCTGCTCAGCGAGGCCCTGCAGCTCCCTCTCCCTCAGCAACTCCTCTTGCTGTGCATGCGCTGTCTCTCTCTAATAAATAAAATCTTTAAATAATAATAAGAATTTTAAATGTCCACCAAGGTTCTGGACATCCCCCTGCAGAGGTTAGGCAACAAGACAGAGGTCGTCCACGGCGCGGCACGCTGTACCTGGCCAGCCCCTTGGCATATGCTAAAGTCCTAATCCCTGGTATCAGTGAACGTGACCTTATTTGGAAACATAACCTTTGTGGATGCAATCAAGTTAAGCGGAGGTCACCCGGGGCTAGGCAGGCCCAGACCCAGGGACTGCTGTCCTCCGAAGAGGAGGAGAGACATGACACACGTTGGGGAGGCCACGGCCAGCAGGCGGAGACGCGCCTGGGAGCAGCCTGGGAGCAGCCGGGATCGCCGGCCACCCCAGGGCGGGCAGAAAGGCCTGGAACAGAGCCTCCCTGGGCCTGCGGAGGGCGGCCTACCCACACCTTGGTTTTGGATTTGTGACCTCCACAAGTATGAGAGAACACATTTCTGCTGTTTTGGGCTATTCAGCCCGCGATACCTTGTTAGCTGCAGGAGATTGGGACATGCCATGTTTTTAAAAGGAATTTCAGCAGAGTGAGTCTTGACGTACCGTGCAGACTCTGGTGAGCAGGACGGGTCATACGGGCTCACCAACTGTAGGAAACGCAGGATGTGAACACGGGGGCTGCAGTGGGTACACGGGATTCTATCTACGAGCTGCTCAGTTAGTCTGTAAATCTAAACCTCTACTGAAAAAATTGTCCTTTTTTTTTTTTTTTTTAAGGGAGAGTTTGGGACATGAGAGTGCCCTGACTCTGTGTGTAGGCCGAGTTCTCAGGATGTCCACTTGAGCCTTGGCCAGGACAGGACCCCTGAGGCCCCTGAACCCACCAGAAGCCCCCGGCCTCACCCATCAGCCTCTCACAGTTAACCAGAATGTCGATTTTCCCAAACTCCTTCAGTGCCTGGTCCACAGCAGCTGTGATGGCTGGAAAAGCTCGAACGTCCAGCGATAAGGGGAGGCACCGCTGGCCAGTGGCAGCAGCCAGCTTTCTGGCAGCCTAGGAGCCAGAAGGAAAGAGGTGGGCAGCAGCCCAGTGGTCTCGTGGGGGAGTCTGACAAGGGGGATGTGTCCAGGGGATGCTGGGAGGCTGCCGCTGGCTGCTGGACCCCACTCCCGCGGCCAGGCGGCCACTCCATGCAGCCACAACCCCCGGTGGACAGTTCTAAGATATCCCTCTCTCTCCCCATCTCCCTAGGACCCTCCTTTGACATTGCCCTTCAGGTCACTGGCCACTGGTCATGGGTCAACGGCAGCCCCAGCTGACTTCTGGTCCCTGCCACAGAGACCAGCTGTGCCAGTGGTGACAGTCTCCTCCCAGGTGAACACAACATGCGAACCACCCTCAAGATCCGAATGAGCTGAGATCTCTCTTGGGGCCACAGTACCACCCAACACGAGAGTCTCCTCAGAAGAGATGTTGTAAAAAACCAAGGGGTACCCTTGGGAGGCCACTCGTACTGAAGGTCCATGTTTGGGAGAGAAGCAGGATTTGGTCCCGCCATCTTCTGGGCCTCAGGACCCTCCAGGCACAGGCTCTGGGCCCCCACAGCCACCCATGGGTGGGACGGACACAGGAAAGACCCCCTCACCTTAGACACTCTTGGAAAGCTTCTGCTGGCGATGACTGTGTGGCAGCCGTGCCTGCGAAGCCAGAGGGCAGGTGTGAGGGCAGCAAGGCACAGGGCACACACCAGGTGGCCTCCTGCCTGGTGCTCTAGGCACAGCTCCTCTTGCCCAAGGCTCTCTTGGGCTGAAGCACCAGCCCAGGGCTGAAGGCACAGCTTGCAGAAAACACAGGCAAAGCCGAGTGGCACCAAAGGTACCTGCCCCGGGGGCCCCAGTCTGGGTCGCTCTGGCATGCGGTACACCAGCCACACAGAGATATGGGTCCTCCCCCAAACACCATGTACTCAGCAGTGACACAGCCGGGAGCCTCAGATGCACAGCCCGGCAGCTGCATGGGCCCTGCTGGGTGCCCTGGGCTTCTCCCTCCGAGGCTGGGGTGAAGGACAGGGAGGAACTACGCTGAGGCCAGGGTGCCTGCCCTGCCTCACTGCCTGACACACTCAGCCTCACAGTAACAGTAGTAGCTACACCTGCTAAGCAGCCCCACCTAATCCTTAAAATGACCCTCAGCACAGTTGGCCATGCTCTACTCAGAGAAGCAACATGCACAAGCCGCCAGCTTGGAAAATGGGATTCACCTGCATTGGATGAATCCCCAAATCTCATCCAGTGAGACCCATTCTCTATGAAAAGTGGAGGCCTGGAGAAAACCGGGGAGGGGTCCATAACATATCAACAGGCTTCCTCTTCCCCCCAACCCCAGCCTAACTCTGCCCCTTTCCTCTGGGGCTCACAAGTGGTCAGCCTGGGCCTAAGGTCACAGATCTTGTGTTCCAAGAGACACTGTGCTCCGCACACTGCTGGAGTCAACTCGGCTCACCGACCCTGGGTTGGCAAGGCCCCAGGGAGCTTGGCAGCAGAGTTAGCTCAACCTATTGCACCCTTCCTCTGGTACAATGGGGGTGCTGGGGCCAGAGCCTTAGTCTCAATGAACCTCTAGGAGGAGACCATAGAGTTCTGCCTCCTCCAGGAAAGCACCTGACCCCTTTCAGATGCCCTCTGATGGCTTGTTGCCTAGAGTGGTTCCTACCACCCACCAGCATCTTGCCCAGGGATACAGCAGGGTCCATGCAAGGTGGAGTGAGTTTCGGGGGTGGGAGGGAGTGCAAGAGTGCATAGAGCAGTGCTCACCGCATAAAAATCTCAGCAATCCGGAACCCGATGCCAGAACCACCACCGGTGATGAACGCCACTTTGTCCCTAAGAAAACAGGAGGCATTTTAAGAGATAGATCCCTAGTTTTCTTTTCTTTTTTTTTTTTTTTTTTTGAAGATTTTATTTATTTATTCATGAGAGACACACAGAGAGAGTCAGAGACACAGGCAAAGGGAGAAGCAGGCTCCACGCAGGGAGCCCGACACGGGACTCGACCCCGGGTCTCCTGGATCACACTGTGGGCTGAAGGCAGGCACTAAACCGCTGAGCCACCCAGGGATCCCCCAATCCCTAGTTTTCTAACAGACCAAAATACAGCATCCAGTGTATTGCTCTGTTCTGCTCACCCGATTATATTCTTTTTCTTAAAAAAAAGTTGGTTTTTTTGGTTTATGGTCTCTTCTGATTTGTTTAGTGTATAGTTCCCTGGGATCGTTGTTGCCATTTTAGTACTGTGTTTTCTCATTCATCTATTCTTCTCTGGACAGAATGGCAAGATGGAAAAACGCACCTCAGAAAAGAGAACAAGAGGCAGGCAGTACTGACCAGGAACCTAATCAGTATGGACATAAGTAAGATGTCGGAACTGGCGTTCAGAATAACAATTATAAAGATGCAGGTTGAACTTGGGGGAAAAAAAAACACATAGAAGACACCAGAAATTCTCCCTTTCTGGAGAAATAAAAGAACTAAAATCTAATCAAGTTGAAACCAAAAAGGCTAATAATGAGATGCAATAAAAAACGGAGGCTGTAACAGCTAGGATAAATGAGCAGAAGAGAGAATTAGTGATCTAGAAGACACAATGATGGAGACTAGAGAAACTGAGAAAAAGCGAGATAAACAGCTACTCACTGAATCACCAGGGGAGGATTCGAGAGAGAAGTGATGCTATACAGCGAAACAATATTAGAATAATTGGGATCCCAGAAGAAGAGGAAAGGGGGGAGGGACAGAAGGTATATTGGAGCAAACTATAGCTGAGAACTTCCCTAAATCTGGGGAAGGAAACAGGCATCCAAGTCCAGGAGGCATAGAGAACCCCCCTCAAAATCAATAAAAATAGGCGAACACCCCGACATATAATAGTGAAACTTGCAAATCTCAGAGACAAAGAGAAAATCCTGAAAGCAGCTGGGAATAGGAGGTCCGTAACCTTCAAGGGTAGAAACATTCTCTAGCAGCAGACCTGTCCACAGAGGCCCGGCAGGCCAGAAAGGGCCGGCATGGTACATTCAGGTGCTAAATGAGGAAAGAGAGAGAGGTAGGAATTTAGCAAGGCTTGGGAAGAGATCAGAGACATGTTACAGATGAGCATCAAATCTCAAACGTTCAAGACACATGAGTGGGGCACCTGGGGGGCTCAGTTGGTTAAGCATCTGCCTTTGGCTCATGTCACGATCTCAGGGGTCTTGGGATCGACCCCACATCAGGCTCCCTTGCTCCATGGGGAACCCACTTCTCCCTCTCCCTATGCTGCTGCTCCCCCTGCTTGTGCTCTCTTTCTGTCAAACACATGAGTTTTTTTTCTAAAGCAAGCCCCATCGATATGCTGCCTGCAAGAGACTCTTTATTTTTTTAAAGATTTTATTTATTTATTCATAGAGAGAGAGAGAGAGGCAGAGACACAGGCAGAGGGAGAGGGAGAGGGAGAAGCAGGCTCCATGCAGGGAGCCTGACATGGGACTCGATCCCGGGTCTCAAGGATCACGCCCTGGACTGAAGGCAGCACCAAACAAAGAAACACCTCAAAAGGTGAGCCACCCGGGCTGCCAAGAGACTCATTTTAGATCCAAAGATACCTCCAGCTCATGAAAGGAAAGCTGGGGTAAGGCAGCCCGGGTGGCTCAGCAGTTCATTTATTTTTTATTTTTTATTTTTTATTTTTTATTTTTTTGGCTCAGCGGTTTAGCACCTCCTTCAGCCCAGAGTGTGATCCTGGAGACGTCGGATCGGGTCCCACGTCGGGATCCCTGCATGGAGCCTGCTTCTCCCTCTGCCTGTCTCTCTCTCTCTCTCTCTCTGTCTCTGATGAATAAATAAATTCTTTAAAAAAAAGAAAGCTGGGTAGTACTCCTTCATTAAACAAATTAAATCAAATTAAATTTTAAATCAAAGGCTGTCATAAGAGATGAGGAAAGACACTATATCATAATTAAAGGGTCTATGCAACAAGAAGATCTAAGAATTTTAAGTATTTATGGCTCTAACATGGGAGCAGCCAATTATATAAACCAATCAATAACAAAATCACAGAAACACGTCGATAATACGGTGATAGTAGAGAACTACAGCACCGCTCTCACAGCAACACACAGGTCATCTAAGCAGATGAATGAAGAAACAAGGGCTCTGAATGACACACGGGACCACACGGATGTCACAGATATATTCAGAGCATTCCACCCTAAAGCAACGGAATGCACCTTCCTCTCAAGTGCACAGGGAACATTCTCCAGAATAGATCACATACTGGGTCACAAATCAGGTCTCAGCTGGTACCAAGAGATCCGGATCACTCCTGGCACATTTTCAGAGCACAATGCTTGAAACTGGAACTCAGTCAGAAGAGGAAATTTGGAAAGAACTCAAATACATGGAGGCTGAAAAGCATCCTAGTACAGAATGAATAGGCCAACCAGGAAGTTAAAGAACAACTAAAATAATTCACGGAGGGGCGCCTGGCTGGCTCAGTGGGTCGATCTCCGGGTCATGAGTTCAAGCCCCACACTGAGCACAGAGCCTACTTAAAAATAACAATAAAGTTATTAGGTGAGACATGTTTGCAAGACACAGGAGCCTTCCTCCACCGGCCCCTCAGCCCCACCCTCCCGGACCAGGACCCGCACCGGGACACACAGTCTGCTCCCAACAGGACAAAGGTTAGAACACCACCCGGACCAGGGTTAGAACACCACCCGGACGAGGGTTGGAACACCACCCGGACATCTGGATCGCCGGCCGCCAGCACCCGGTCCTCTGCCGTCGCAGTAAAACCACCTGCCCCGAGCCACCTCCGCAGCGCTGCGCCCCTGGGGAGCCCCTGACTCCGTCCTCACCTGAGCAGGTCGGGGCAGAAGAGATGGCGGTACTCGGGGAGACACTCGTCCTCACTGACGTCGGGCGGTGGCTGGGCCATGGCGCGCGGGGCGGCCGGGGTCGCGAGGACGGCAGGAACCGGCCGGGGCGGGCAGCAGCAGGGCCCTCTCCGGGGATCAGCGCCCTGGCCTGGGGGTGCGGGAGCAGACGCAGCGGTAGCCTGACCCCGGCGCTGACCGCGCGCCAGCCCCGCCCACAGCGGCTCCCAGCCCCGCCCCGGACTCACCGCCCACGGCGCCGACCGCCGTGCTACCCCGCCCACAGCGGCTCCCAGCCCCACCCCGGACGCCCCGCCCACGACGCCGACCGCGGTGCTAGCCCCGCCCACAGCGGCCCCCAGTTCCGCCCAGGACGCCCCGCCCACGGCGCCGACCGCCGCGCTAGCCCCGCCCACAGCGGCTCCCAGCTCCGCCCAGGGCGCCCCGCCCACGGAGCTGACCGTCGTGCTAGCCCCGCCCACATCACCGCCCCGCCCCGTCCGCCCCGCCCACAGCGACCCTCGCGCCTTCCAGGACTCGGTGCTCGGTCCCCGCGGCTGCGCGGCCTGCTGGGCCTGGGGGCGGGGGGCAGGCGCAGTGGGGCGGTGGGCACCGAGGGAGCTGGCTTCGTAACCGCCTCGGCCTTGATGACGGGAGCGGGCGTCAGCGCCCTGGCCCGACCCAGGGGTTACCGCGGACACTAGGCTCCGGGTCAAGGGTCGCTGCCCCTCCGCGCCTTAACAACCTGTTTGGGGGGCACTTAGCGTCTGACGGCCCGCCCGCCGAGCCCCTCGCTTCACTGCTGCGGTGGAGCCGCGAGAGCCCAGGACCGCCTCCCCCTCGCATGGGCAGCCCGAGCTGCCAGGAGAGGTTAGGGCACTGCATGGGAGCCCTGGGGGCGGGGCACGGCAGCCACCGGGGCTGTGGGCCGGGATCAGGGCCTCCTTTATAAAGACGTCACAGCGCAAGCAAGGCCAAGGCGGCCACAGCAGGTGCGAGGACGTGCTAAGTCCGGTACCGTGACAAGTGACCAGGGTCACAGCTGAGGACCAGAGCTGTTGTGATGTCAGCGCAGACACGAGAACGGGGAGCCCTGGCCAGGCTCTGCCGCAGAGGCCAGAGGCCGGGAACGGAGCTGTGCCCCGGGGGCTTCAGGGGCCCCTACACACCCTTCTCGCCACCCTCCGGCCCTGCCCGAGGCAGGCAGGCCCCGCTGAGCATGACCAGGTGGGGGTGCTGGGCCTCGGCATGGATCCCCCTACATTTCAGGCTGCGGACCTTTGCACCTCTGCCTGTCTGATCCAGTTAAAAATGATGGCTCCCCGACCGGTGTGTGAGCTTAAGGTAAGCTTTATTTCTACTCTCAAACTCTTACGGCTTTGCATGAAGTCCTCACCCCTAATCTGAGAGATGGCAGGAACTGTACCAAACGACCCACGCCTGCCACAACACAGTGATGTCTCACCCCCCTTGGGGGAAGGGCGCTTACACTATGTACTTTTGGAGACACCCCAAAGGTTGTCTGGCACTTTGGTATAGAAAGGATTTGGTCCAATTTCTTACTGGCTCGGGATAGTAAAAGGCACATAGAGTTGGTTGCTCAGCTCCTCGGGATAGCGTGGAGCGGAAGGTAGATGGGGTCTGGGACAGAAGGGCAGACCGCCGGGGTGGGCTCGGGGTCTGCACGACAGAGGTAGTTGATCCTGGATGGCCGCAGGGTGGCTGAGGGCAGCCCGAGTGCTCACGCTGCGTAGATGCTGCTCTGGTGGTTTTCGTCTGCCCAGTCCACCAGCTCACTGCTCTGAAACCATAGCTGGATCTCCCTCCGGGCCCCCTCCACGGAGTCACTGGCGTGAATGATGTTCCTGCGCCAACGAGAGGCAACAAAGGTAAGGCACGGACTTCAGTGGGAACCTTGGAGGTCCCGGGAGGCATCTGCTAACCCCCTGCTGTCGAGAGGGGCAAGCCCGGTGCTGGTCGATGTTTCTCTGTTGCAAGAACAGAGCTGGAAGACTGGTTCCAGACTGACCTTGGCCTCTCCCCACAACCTCACGCCCAGCCCCGACCCTTTCTGGGAGCCTCGTGTTCCCACCAGCCGTCCCATGCCACCCCTCCAGGGTGGTAACACTCAGAATCAGACAACACATAGTGAGTGCTTTATCATCTCCTGTGTGCAAAGGGCTTCAAAAAACCTGTTCTGGCAAACATTAGGTGTGTGTGACATCCCAGCATCGAAAATCTCTGGCTTTCCTTTGGCCCCAGCAAGATGCCCAGTTCCCCTGGACCTGCCTTAGGAGCAGACTGCCACCCCACACTCAGGCCCTCCTCAACCCCTAAGGAGCTGGCCCGTCACCTCCAGTGGCTTGAGTGTGTCAGGGCCCCCAGACCTGCTGATGTGGACACTAAAGTCCCCCCTGATGGTGCCGGGGGCGGCCTCAGCTGAGTCGGTGTGTCCTATCATGGTCCTCGAGGAGCAGACCACATTGGGGCCTTCCCAGACCTGCAGCACAGAGATAAAGGTGGGCGGGACGGGTGGGGATCGCCAAGGACTCAGCAGCTCTGGGCTCCGCCCAGGGCCCTCCACCCCTCCCACCACCCCTGCCTGACCTACCATGGCCACCACCGGGCCAGAGGTCATGTAGCTGATGAGCGCTGGGTAGAAGGGCTTCCTCTGCAGGTCATGGTAGTGCTCAGCAAGGACTCTCTCTGGTGCCTGGGCAGCATTGGGGCAAGGGTGAGGGGAGCCCCTGGGCACTGGGCCAGGGACCGTGGTATCCTGACCTCAGGCGCTTTGCAGATAACACCTACCTGGGCTGGCACAGCAGCACGTACCTCCCCACCCCTCCCCTGCTACCGCCAACACCAGGATACTCCTCCTGACCCGGGGCTGAGGTAGCCCCCCACCCGTCCCCTCAAGGACACCCATGGGCCGAGGGCCCTGGTACCTGCAGCATCTTCATCCCCACCAGCTTGAAGCCCCTCCTCTCAAAGCGCTGGATCACGTCCCCCACAAGCCGCCGCTGCACCCCATCCGGCTTCACTGCAACCAGGGTCCGCTCTCGAGTCCAGGAGGACCCTCCTTTAGAAGAAGGGGAATCAGGTGCCTCACCTTTTCACATTTGCCTGAACCTGGGTTCTGCTGCCACAACCCAAGTGTCACCTGGCCGTCAGAGCGCCTGCCTCTACCAGAGCAGCTCTGGACGGGAGAAGGGCAGGGCTCACAGCAACGGATGCCCAGCAGGACTCTGCCTTTCAGAGAGCAACAGGGGGTTGGTGCTTGCAGCCCGTCAGGAGGGGCCGTGGCTCTGCCCGTGCAGTGGCAGGGGCACCCATGATGGGATCCGGGCTCCCTGAGGAGGCATCTTCGAGAGGTGGGGGGGCAAATCCCAGCTCGGAGGCCACCCAGAGGCCCAGAGATGCCACACGGGGAAGAGGGCATGTTGTTGGCCTTGCTTTTGACTGCGGGGCTCCAGAGTGATGGCACGGTCACTGTCCGAACTCCCCAGCTGCCCCGTGAGGAAGGACCCAAAGCGCATCCTCTGGGTCTGAGGGGAAGGAGTGGCAGGGAACCAGGCAGTAGTGAAGTGTCCCTTCCCCACCAGGTGGGCCACGCACAGGGGACAAAGGGAGCTCGGGCCTGAGGAGGAGGGCAGGGGGCGTCCTGTGCAGGGGGAGACTCTGGAGGGCTGTGCACAGGCTGCCCAACAGCCCCCAGCTCTGCGCGGCTGGAGGCTCTGAAGGCCGCCGCTGGGGGACCCAAGCACAGGACCGAGCCCGCCCCAGGGGTCTCTAGGGGTCACTGCAGCACACAGGGGGCATCATCGCCCCTTACAAGCCCGGGCCCCAGAGTCTCACTGACCCGCAGCCCCGGGTCCAGGCCCAAATGTGCTCTCGAGAGGAGCCTACACCCCGGCGGGGGGCGTCCGGGGAAGTCCTGCAGCCGGTGCCCCTAAGACCCCGCGTGGAGGGGCCCTCTGCGGAACTGGCCTGCCGCCAGCCGGCCCGACCCCCCGGGGGGCAGCTCGCTCCGGCGGCGTCGGGAGAGCCCGCGGGCCGCAGTGACCCGGAGAGGCCCATCAGGCCTCGGGCTGCCCCGGGCTCCGGAGCTCTCGGGTCCCTGCGCCTGGGCGCGGGGAGGGGGGTGCGGTGGCGGGGAGACGCGCGGGCGCACCGAGGGCTCGCGCGCCAACAAAGGACCGGCGCGCCCCCTCCCCTCCCCTCCCCCCCTCCCCCTTCGTGGGTCGCCGGCCACTCACCCGAGTTGGAGCGCGCGAGCAGGCCAGGCCCGGGGGCCCGCGAGCCACGCAGCAGCCCCGGCAGCGCGGCGCGCCCCAAGACGCCGCCCATGACCCCGGCCCGCGGGCCGCTGGCGAGCACCGGGAGAGCGCGGGCGACAGAGCCCCGAGGGCGAGGGGGAGGGGCGGGGCCAGCGGGAGGGGCGGGGCCACCGCGGAGGGGAGGGGGAGGGACCACCGGGGAGGGGAGGGGAGGGGGCGGATGGAGGGGAGGGACCACGGGGGAGGGGAGGGGGAGAAGAGGTGACGGAGGAGGGGAGGAGGGAAGGAGAGGGCGGGGCCACCGGGACGGGGCAGGCAGGGAGGAGGGGCGGAGGGAGGGGGATGACCCACGGGGGGGGGAGGGGAGGGGGCGGAGAGGGGCGACCGAGAAGGGGAGGCCGGGGTCAGGAGAGGACGGGGCGGAGGGAAGAGGAGGGGCCAGAGAGAAGGGGAGGGGAGGAGTGGGGAGGGCAGTGAGAAGGGAGGAAGGGGGAGCCGAGGGGAGGGCGGGGTGAAGAACCCCGTATTCTGTTGCATTCCTGCTGCGGTGGGTAGGTCGGTGGCCAGCTACTGTTGGCAGGAGATCTAGCGGATCTTAACGGGTTTTTGAAAAATCAAATATGCTTTTTGATGCTGCTGCGAGTGGAATTGTTTTCTTTAATTTCATTTTTGATTGTTCATTGAAAGTGTAGAAATACAATTAACTTTTGTGCGTTGATCTTGCCTATGCTGCAGCTTTGCTGAACTCATTTATTAGTTCCAGTAGTTTTTTTAGTGGATTCCTTAGGATTCTCCAGGTATGAAATTATGTCATGTGGACACGGAGATCGATGTTTCTTCCTTCCCAGTGCGGATGTCTTTTATTTCATTTTCTTATTTAATTGTTCTGGCTACAATCTCCAGTAAAATATTGAATACAAGTGGCCTTCTTTTTCCACTGGCTTAATT